AGTTCAAAATGCCATCTGTGGAGACCTTTGATGGAACTAAGGATCCACTGGACCACCTCGACACTTACAAGACTTTGATGCAACTGCACAACGTACCAGACGAAATCATGTGTAGGGCATTCCCAACCACATTAAAGTGGTCTGCCTGACAGTGGTTTGCTAAGCTCTCCCTCGCCTCCATTGCCTTATTCGCTGAGCTTAGCAGATCATTCGTCTCACATTTCATTGGAGGGCGTCGCCACCAGAAGCCTGTCACGCACTTGCTTAGTATAAAGCAGGATTGCGAGGAGAGCCTGAGGAGTTACCTCACTCGTTTTAACGAGGAGGTACTCCAAGTTGATGAACCCGACGACAAGGTGACGATGACCGCCTTCTTGGGTGGCCTCCGTTCATCAAGCTTTCTTTTCTCAGTTTTGTAGCGCCCACCGAAGAGCATGCCAAAACTGCTAGCCAAGGCCCAAAAGTACATAAATGCGAAAGACATCACAAGGGCCAGGCGAGGTGAGTCCTCCAGAGCAAGGGAGAAAAGGAAGGAAAGGAAGAGGGACGATAAGAAGGAGACTAGCAACAAGCGTGGCAGAACAGAGAAAGTCCCTGTCAAGGACCGGCTAGGTCCTGCTCCTCAGAGGGACCGTCAACCCTTCACTCCCCTCAATGCTGCCGTGGGGCACTTCTTATTCCAGATCCAAGATGACCCCGCGATAAAGTGGCCTGAGAAAATGAAGTCTCCTCCAAATCGCAGAAATTCTAACAAGTATTGTCGCTTCCATCGCGACCACGGGCATGACACAGATGATTGCTACGACCTCAAAAGGCAAATTGAGGAGCTCATCCAGCGTGGTCACCTACGCCAGTACGTTGCTGAAAGGGAACGAACATCACAACCTCACAATCAGGAAGGTCAGCAGCCCGTGGGGAAGATTCACACAATCTCAGGAAGACTAGCAGGAGGGGGATAATCACTTTTTGCAATAAAGGCCCACGCCAGGAAGGCAAGACATGTCGACGAGATGCGCCCATCTAAGGTGCCGAAGCAGGACGACGACGAGGTCATATCTTTCTCAGATAAGGACTTGGAGAGAATCCAGCACCTCCATGATGATCCCCTTGCTGCTTACCATGACAGTGGCTAATTTTCATGCGCGCAAGATCCTGGTGGATAGTGGCAGCTCTGCAGATATCCTATTCGCAGAGGCTTATGACAAACTCAACCTGGGCAGGGAGAGGCTGCAGCCTATCAGGTCACCTCTCATTGGATTCTCAGGAGAAAAGGTGTATCCCCTTGGGTCTATCACACTTCATGTCACCGCCAGAGTAGTACCCCGAAGCTCCACAGTTATGGTCAATTTCCTGGTAATAGAGTGCCCGTCAGCCTACAACATCATATTAGGGCAGCTAACTCTTAACACATTGAGAGTTGTGCCCTCCACCTACCATCTCGTTCTCTGTTCTCCAACCTCAAATGGAGTCAGAGAGGTCAGAGGAGATTAGGTAACAGCTAGAGAGTGCTATGTATCCTCTATGAAGGCTAGGAAGCCCCAAGAAGCATTGCAGGTTGAAGTCCTTGACCCAAGGGATGACTCCACTACAAAAAGAGGAGAACCAGTCGAGGAACTCACCCCTGTGGTCTTAGAATAGGAACATCCAGACAGAAGAATTTACATTGACTCTTCCCTTTCTAAAGATCTGGCTCGCTTGCTAATTGATTTTTTGAAGCGCAACATGGACGTCTTTGCTTGGTCGCATGAGGACCTTGAGGGCATCGACCCAGAAGTAGCCACACACCGTCTCAATGTTGATCCGCTTTACAAGCCTGTTCGCCAAAAGTTAAGGGGAGCCTCTACTGAAAGGGCCCAAGCCATGGACAAGGAGGTTAGAAAGCTAATAGATAACGAGGCAGTCAGAGAAGTAGCATATCCTGAGTGGCTCTCCAACGTGGTAATGGTCACTAAGGCTAATGGGAAGTGGCGCCTCTACGTCGACTTCACAGAACTCAATAAGGCGTGCCCAAAAGATAGTTACCCACTGCCGTAAATTGACCTCCTCATTGACGCCACCGCTGGGCATGAATTGCTCACTTTCCTGAATGCATACTCTGGGTACAACCAGATTAGCATGCATCCCCTAGACCAAGAGAAGGCGTCATTCATCACGCCAAAGGGGACATACTGCTACAGGGTCATGCCCTTTGGACTAAAGAACGCAGGAGTAACCTACCAACGGTTGGTGAACAAGATGTTCCAATCTCAGATCGGGCAAACAATAGAGGTATACGTGAATGACATGCTGGTGAAGAGTCTTGCAGCAGTAGACCACATTGATCACCTCCAAGAAACTTTCAACGTCCTGAGGTCCTATCACATGAAGCTCAATCCTGAGAAGTGCGTCTTTGGTGTGGGGTCTGACAAATTCTTGGGCTTTATAGTCGACCAGAGGGGAATTGAGGCAAATCCTGACAAGATCAAGGTCATCCTCGACATGAAGTCACCCTCCTCAACCAAGGAGCTCCAGCACCTCAATGGAAGAATCGCAACACTAAATAGGTTTGTCTCCAAGTCTGCAGACAAATGCCTCTTTTTTTTCAAGACTCTCCGAAAGGCCTTTGAGTGGAAACTTGAGGCAGAGGAGGCTTTTCAAAGGCTCAAAGCTTACCTGGCAGCACCTCCCCTCCTGTCACATGCCACTCCTAGAGAAGCTCTCCATCTATACATTTCTACTTCCTCATCAACAGTAAGCTCAGTGCTCGTTAGAAATGACAATGGAGTGCAGAAACTAGTTTATTACGTGAGCAGGGCATACCGAGGGGTAGAGGTCAGATATTCAACACTAGAAAAATTGGCACTCGCTCTTGTCACAACAGCGAGACAACTGCGATACTACTTCTAGGGCCACCGTATAGTGGTCATCACAGACCAACCTCTTAAAAGAATCTTGGAAAATCTGGATGTATCTGGTAGACTTCTTAAATGGGCAATAGAACTCAGGGAGTTCGACATTCAGTACCAACCTAGGACGGCCATCAAAGCACAAGCCCTAGCAGATTTCGTTGCCAAACTCACACCAACAAAAGATGGGAATGATGAGGATCCCCAGATGCCTAACGGGGACACAAGAAGCCTAGCAAAGACCCTCAAGCAGGCGCTCAGGTCAGTTCAGGCGCCCAGGTCTCCTCCCCAAGAGTCCAAACAACTTTCCCTGATGCCCAAGTATCCCGAGTTGCACCTCTAGCTCCTACATCCCAGGCTGCACCTCTATTCCCTGATTCCCAGATGGCTTCACCGGATGACCGGTCTTCCATTTCAAATTCCAAACCCCCCACTCCTCTACTTTGGAAACTCTACGTAGATGGCTCCTCGACCAGCGAAGGAGGAAGAGCGGGCCTAATCTTGATCAGCCCAAATGGCACCACTCTCAGGTATGCGGTGAAACTCCACTTTAATGCTTTCAATAATGAGGCGGAGTACGAAGCCCTCCTTTCTGGATTGAGATTAGCAATGAAAATGAAAGTTCAACACATTGCCACCTACAGCGACTCTCAGCTGATAGTTAATCAAGTGAGGGGCGAGTTCGAAGCCAAATGAGCCAAATTGCAAGAGTATCTCAGCATGGCGAGAAACATGATCGCAAAGTTCCACTACTTCCAAATAAACCACATCCCCAGAGAAGATAATATGGCCGCCGATGCACTCATAAAGCTCGCTTCATCCATGGAAGCCTCATTAGGGGAACCAGCATTAGTTGGTCATCAGTGCGAGTCGAGTAGGATGGACATGAAGGCCACAAATATTAACTGTGTATCTACTGAGTCAAACTGGATGACCCCAATCAGGGTATACCTCCAAGAAGGTGTGCTGCCAGATGATCCCCTAGAGGCTAGGAAGCTAAGGATAAGAGCCTTCAAGTTCGCCATCTTACAGGACACTCTGTACAAGAAAGGCTATGCCTTGCCATTGTTGCGATGCCTTTCACCTGAAGAAACTCACTATGCCTTGCGGGAAATCCACGAAGGGATCTGTGGGAACCACTCTGGAGGGCGTTCCCTTGCCCACAAGGCGCTCAGACAAGGCTACTTCTGGCCTACCATGGTAAGGGACGCCCAGGAGTTCTCTAAGAAGTGCAACAAGTATCAACATTTTGCGACTGTGCCAAGGCAACCACTCGAGGAGCTAACAACCATTTCAAGTCCATGGCCTTTCTCCAAGTGGGGCATCGACATCCTAGGCCCCTTGCCCCTCAGCAAAGGGCAGTGCAAGTTCGTGGTGGTGACAGTCGATTATTTTACCAAGTGGTCAGAGGCGGAACCCTTAGCAAAAATCAAAGACACAAAGGTCAAAGATTTTATTTGGAAGAGTTTGGTCTGTCGTTTTGGGATTCCCCATGTCATTGTCAGCGACAACGCCAAGCAGTTCGACAACAAGCTGATCAATTCTATTTAAATAAGCATTTAAATAGAATGATACATAAATGAAGATTTCTAACTGATTTGATTAGTAGGTGTAACATTTTTTCTTTTTAGAGTTTCTTGATATTAGAAGGTTATTTTTGTTTAACTATTTTTTTTCTTACGTTTTTATGGACTTTATATGAACTTACCTTAATTACATATATGAATTAATATTCTAGTAAAAGTTAAAATGATGCAAGCGTATATCAACTAATAATAATAAAAAACAAAAGATAAAAAAGAGCTCAGAAAAATAGAAGTAAAATTTTAAAAAAATAATGAAAGCCCATTGACTGTGAAAAGCTCATGTCCAATATGATTTCAACTTGGTGGCTGAACCTGATGTGTACAACCAAATGCGGCCCATTTAAGATCCAACCTATATATATAGTCCGACCCATCAGCTAATCATCAGAAATACAAAACTCAGCGGAGGATACGGATGGGTATTACTTGAATCTTAAAAAAAAAAGGGTGTTAGAGCAAATATGTTAGGTCCTTATTTGCAAAAAGAAAAAAGAAAAAACCCTAAGGCTAACTTATTCGACAGAACCCCCGTTCAGCCGAGTGTTCGACGCTGCGTCTCTCTCTCTCTCTCTCTATCTTTGACGGTCTCTCTTGACGCTGACGACGTCTCTCCTCCTTCCTGGTACTGGCTTTGACGAGTGTCTCATCTCTGCTTTCCAGTGTCCAGGTATCATCAGGTAATCTCTCTCCTCTCTCTCTATCTCTCTCTCCTCTCTTTTGCCTTTTTTTATCAGTGATTAGCATTCCTTTTTGCAATTAGGGTTTGCAAAACAAACTTTGGGGCCTTGAATTAGGGTTTACAATTAGGGGTTTTCTTTGAGCAGTCTGGAGAACAAATTACACATATAGGGTTTCTGGGTGGCTATATATATATATAGTAGGAAGCATTTGAACTGCTGCATTTGTACTGTGAAGTGCTGCATTTGAACTGCCTCATTTGAGGTGTGTTACTACTGTTGGGTACATTGTTGAATTTTTTATTGTGTTGGCTGTTGGGTACACTGCTGATTCTTTTTATTAAATTAATAATTATAGGAGAATGAGTAAGGGTACGGAAATTATGGGCTCAACTAGTGGAAGTGAAAGTGGCACTCCCACTAATCAAGATGATAGTGCTCCTATTTGGGGTTATGTTACTGAAGTATAAAAATGGGGGAAGGAGGTGGAAATACTAGATTCCAATGTGATTTTGGATATTATGCAATATGTATGTGTAGAATGTCTGATTTATGAATGATAGAATGGTTAGTTATTATTATATATCTTTAATAGATGTGTGATTCACTTTATAAATCATAATTATTACATTAAATATAATAATGAAAATTTTTTAAAAATATATTTTATGGACGTATCCTAGCGGTACCCATGTCTTATTTTTTTAGGTTTTGCCGTATCATATCATATCGTATCAGTATCCATATCCGTGCTTCATAGTTTAAACGGTTTTCCGCTTGTAAACGTTTAACACATGTATGTCAGGCAAACATAAATGCTGGTTTAGTTGTGATGAGCTGTATAGGTGCCCAAATAAGTAAAGAGGACGCATGTATTTAGCCTATTTCAACTATAGTTTGATGCATTCCTGCTTTGTCAGATTGGATTAAGCTAATTTGATTTTGCGTTATGCTATTTAGGGTTCAAGTAATCAGGGACTTATTGGTTGAATTTACTGTAAATATGAGTTCATATGTATTTATCTTTTCACCTTATGATGGTCACAATTAGACTTGAATTGATGCATGGGAACTATTGATTTTTTTGTTTCATGTGTAGAGATGATGAGTTTGATTTCTCAAAACGCTATCCCAGAAGGCCGGGTCAAGAAAATTAAAAGGAAGGATAATGACGAGCGTTTAATTCTTGAAGACAAAGAAGAGGTTGAAGATAAGACGGAATCTGATCCCGATACATTAATAAATAAGAAGAGGAAGAAAGGACGCAAGGAAGAGAATAAGCAGTTGGAAATTGACCAGGAAAGGGAAATGAAGAAGCTAGAGAATTTTTTGTTTGGCTCTTTGTACTCCCCAATTGAATTTGGAAAGGATGATGAGGAAGAAGTGGGAGAGGTCATTGACAAGAGTTCTGTTTTTTACTTCACGGATCGGTCTGCAAATAGTGAGTTGTCTGTTTATGAAGGGGATGCAGAATTGGCTGCGCAAAGTGATGAAGAGGAGGAACCTAAGCAAAGAAAACCCGTGTGGGTGGATGAAGAGGAGGACAAAACTAGTATAAATATAGCCAAAGTTAACAGATTGAGGAAGCTGAGGAAGGAAGAGGATGAGTGTGTAATATCTGGTTCCATGTATGTGTCCAGGTTAAGGGCTCAGCATGCCAAGATGAACCCAGGTACCGAGTGGGCGCAACTTGATTCACAGGTGAGAAATTATAGCTCTGGTGATGAAGACTCAAATGAAGAAGATGGGGCTGTGGCTGCTTATGGTCACAAAGAAGTTGAAGGTGTTGATGATATCCTTAGAACTAATGAAGACCTAGTATTGAAGGGAAATACAAAGTTGTTTCCTGGACTACTTGAGTACTCAAGATTGGTTGATGCAAATGCACAGGAGCTGTCCAATGGTCCCATAAATTCGGTTCAGTTCCATAGGAATGCTCAGTTGCTCCTCACTGGTGGGTTAGATCGAAAGCTGAGATTTTTTCAGATTGATGGCAAGCGGAACACCAAGATACAAAGCATCTTCATTGATGATTGTCCCATTCGAAAGGCATCTTTTTTTCCTGATGGGTCTCAGGTAATTATAGCAGGAAGAAGAAAGTTCTTTTATAGCTTTGATTTGGTGAAAGCAAAGGTGGATAAAATAGGCCCTTTAACTGGCAGGGAGGAGAAGAGCTTGGAAGTTTTTGAGGTTTCTCCTGATTCTAGTACTATTGCCTTCATTGGCAATGAAGGATATATCTTGCTAGTTTCATCCAAAACTAAGGAACTGATTGGAACACTCAAAATGAACGGGACTGCTCGTTCATTAGCTTTTACAAATGATGGACAACAATTGCTGAGTTCTGGTGGTGATGGGCAGGTCTACCACTGGGATTTGAGAACCAGGGGTTGCTTCCACAAGGGCATTGATGAAGGTTGCATAAATGGTACATCGCTTTGCACTTCCCCAAGTGGATCTTTGTTTGCAGCTGGTTCAGATAGTGGGATTGTGAACATTTACAATAGAGAGGAGTTTTTAGGGGGTAAGAGAAAACCACTCAAGACCATTGAGAACCTGACCACGAAAGTGGATTTTATGAGATTCAACAATGATGCCCAGATTTTGGCCATCGGTTCCAGCATGAAGAAGAGTAGTTTAAAGCTGATTCACATTCCATCATTTACTGTTTTTTCTAATTGGCCACCGCCGAATCGAACCCTTCACTATCCACGATGCTTGGATTTCAGTCCTGGTGGAGGTTTTATGGCTACGGGAAATGCTGCCGGGAAAGTGTTATTATACAAGTTGCATCACTACCAGCATGCTTAGATCAAATGTGATTGCCTCTGACACCATCTAATAGCCTTGCCCTGGTATTTCCTACCATTAATACATGGGGCTTGAAGGCATTGCCGTTTGATTTTCTTTTTTTGGTTATTTATGTATGACTTTTTGTCCTCTGCAGATTAACATTGTCTGCAAAAATTTTGTTTGTTTGTGGTTGGTGATCATCTATATATGCATGTCAAGTTGAAAATGGATGTATTGGAGCTTGGATCTCTGTAGTTACATTTTTCATGATGTCTGTTGTTAATTATATTGGGCCTAAGAATACATTCAAGAGTGGTAAAATTTTAGTCTATGTAGATTCACTTGTCGACCATACATTCAAGAGTGGGTAACTCTAACCTATTTGTTTAATATTATTTTATTGAACTGTTTTGTGTTAATTTTAATCTTAATATTATCAATTATATAATGTGTTTATTTTTGCAAATTATTTTTCACCTTAAATAATTTGCATACTAAAAGATATGAATTAAATATTTAAAATTAAAAAAAAAATAAATCACTCATCAATAAATAATTTAGGGCACCACCTAAATTTTTTTGCAGTTGTCCTCGTGTATTCTGGGGTCGGCCTTGTTAACACATAAGTAAATGAATTTCACACAAACCAATTACTATCCCTCTATATTTTGTAATAACTACACAGTCTCACTCAATGTAAAGTGAATAACTATCCATATGCAAAAAAGTGTGATTTTTTTATTTACCTGAAAAAAAAAAAGAAAAAATGGTGGGGTTCACCTTGTCTATTTAGTATTTTATTATTGAATAGTGATATGATGTTACAACACTGACATGATTTTTTCTTTTGTTAGTTACTGGGTATCTAGATTTGCGCTCACTATTTCTTCGAGCTCAACAATTAACAATCATAGTTTGAACTAGATTAGAGCATGTCCCTAAAAAGGTGAAGAATGACTAACCCTTAGGAATGTGTGAGAGAATTAAGGAAAAATTTCATCTATACCCCTATGTAATTAGGTCTAAATTCAATGATGTCTCTTTCCAATTCTGATACTTTACTATTACCCCTGTCAGTGTTTGTCGGGTTACGACGTTAATGACAATTGATAATTTACAGAAAATGCCTCTAAATATTTTATAGGATAAATTTTATCCACCCCTTGTAAATAGATATAATTTCAATGACACCCCTTATAAATAAACCTATCTTTAACTATACCCCCCTCCTCATTCTGAAATTTCAATGCACTCATTTTTAGTTTTATAATATTAATTTTTATATTTATCAATTTAATATTTAATTTTATCAAATTAATATCATCAATTTAATATTTAATTTTATTAAATTAATGTCATCAATTTAAATTTCAATGCACTCCCCTATGTTTCTGCCTCCATCAACAATTGAAGAAAATATCAATCCTACAATAATACATAACAAAATGGAAGAAAAAAATTAAAAAAAATGTGCATGAACAAAATTAAAAAACAAATTGCATGAAAAAAATCTAAAAATCTACATGAAAAAATTTAAAGTATCTGCATGAATTTTTTTTTAAAAAAAGCTGCATGAAAAAAATAAAAAAAAACTGCATGAAAAATTTTTAAAAAAAATGTATGAAAAACGTTTACAAATCTGCAAGAAGAAAATAAAATAAAAAATATTTTTTTACTAACTTAGGTAGCGATCGATCACTATGAAAAACGAGTTGAAGAAGAATAGCTGACTTTCAATTCCCTATGTCTTCCAGCAACACCAAATCGTTTTTTACTTTTAGCAACAACAAAGGGTATAGTGTAGATAGTGAGAAAATGGTTGATGACATTTTATTATACTTACATAAGGAATGGTAATTTTGACATTTTTAGAAAATTTATAATCAAATTGTTACTTTTTATACTTGCAGAGTTAAAAATTACCATTAATTTGAAAGTATAAATCGGAAGGGGATACAGTGAAATTTTAAAATTGTGAGAGGGTGTCATTGAATTTAGACATAATTAGAGGGATTGTAGATGAAATTTTTCCAAGAATTAAACATGAGATATTTGAATTATCGAAACACGAGCTCAACCGTTAGACATCACTAAAAATAATAATGACCTGATAACACCATTAAATTGAAATATTTAGTATTTACTCCAACTAGCCAACATACTGTATAGTACTCGGGGGCGAAGCTAGAAAAATATTTTAGGGTTGACACATTAATAAATTTTAATTTTTTTTATCAATGTCATAGCCTTAATTCAATGTAATTGTTATTTCAGTTGTAAATTTCAATGTTAGATGAAATTTACTTTCAATCAAAGGGGTGCATTGAATTATGTCATCAAATTAGATCTAAATAGTTTTTTTTTTCTTTTTTTTAATTGACCATAGAAAGTTCATAAATTTATATTTACTATAATTATGCGTAAAAAGTCATTAAACATAAAATGTTAAAAAACGATTTGCATGTAATGAAAAACAAAAAATAAAAGTAAATTAATTAAAACTTCGTACGAGACTAATTATTATTATTTTACAATTGAATATGATTATTGTTTATCATTTAAAAGAATTACAAATAAATGATATCAATAAATACTTTCTTTTCTATATATAAAATGATAATAATAGTCTTTCATTTATTACCCTGTAATTTATTACATAAAAACGATTATTTATGTGCAATAACAAAATAATCCTTTAATTTAGAAAAATGACCACGATATGTTTAATAATTATTTAGACATGTCTGTGTCTAAAAATTTAAGAATAATAGTAATTGCATCTAATTCAAAATTTAATTTTATATCTTGACCAAAAAAAATTTAAAATTTAATTGGTAAAAACCCAATAGTTTGTGACCATTAGATGAATAGTAAATATTATTAAATATAGGGACTCACTATTAGATTTAATATCATAATGTATTAGTTCTAATAACATTATTTAAAAATTAATTATTATTTAAGTAGTCTTCTATCTTAATCAATATCATAATAACACAAAAATAAGGCGGGGACAATTAAATATATCTAAATTTTATTTTAAAAAGTATATATTGAATGTAAAAAAAAATTTGATGGCCAACACAATTAAATATATTTATATTTTATTTTAAAATATATATATATATAAGTGTCAAAAATTTTTTTTGAGAGGTGCACGTGCGCCCCCCCTCCCCCCCCCCCACCGGGGCGGTCCAAGGGTGGCTCCGCCCCTAGCACGCCATAGTGGACTTGTAGAGGAGACCTCACACAAATTAAGAAAAAACCATTTCTAAAGTGAAGAAACGAGGAAAGTTGTCGAGTGTTCTAGAATTTTCTTTTCGTTGTTATTATCGCCTTATATAAATCCTCACCGTCCAATTTTCCCACCTCATAAACCCAAAAACAAAAAAACAAAAAAAAAAAAAACAAATTCCCACCTCCAATAAAGCACAGATCTGAGTCCTACCTAACACCTCTCTCTCTTCGCCAGCACACAGGTCAATAAGCCTTCGATCCATCTCTTTCTCTAGGGTTTCATCTCATCGGTCAGCCCCCTCTTTCGGAAACCTATAGGAAAGTGTATATATTGATGGATTGGTTGTGGGTTTTGCTTTGATTGAACTGGGGTTTTGTTGTTTCAGATTCGAAGATGTTTGGGAGGGCACCGAAGAAAAGTGACAACACAAAGTACTATGAAGTTCTAGGCGTTTCCAAGAATGCTTCGCAGGATGATCTGAAGAAGGCCTATAGAAAAGCGGCCATCAAGAACCATCCTGACAAAGGTGGTGATCCTGAAAAGGTATATAATTATTGTTATTGCATTTATAGATCTGGTCAATACATATGCGATTGGTGTTGAAGTTGTTCATGGGTATTTGTAGAATAGCTCAATCAATGTAGTATATTCTCTCTGAAGCTTGGTAGATTAACTTGATCAATCAAAAGGAACGTGGGTTTTCTGATTCTCATATAATTTAGTGATTTTTTTGGGAGAATTTCTGTTAGGGTAGACCTAAATTAACATGAAACGAAATAATAACAAATATATAAAAAATTATATATCTCTGCATGTATTTATCTTGTTAATTAGATGGCAAAGTAACCTGCACTGCTATGAGTCTTTTTTTGTGTATTTTTTTTTTATGTTTTAAGATTTATTTTCTTCAGTCGGATTCTGACTTGTAAGCCTATGTCAATATTTATTTTCCACCGCTATTGCCAGCTTGCAAACTCCAAATTATAATTTGAAAAGAACTTGTATGAATTCAGTATTAATTTTTTTCTGCAAACTCCAATTCCATTTCCACCGCTGAGAAATGAAACATTGATGTTGTAAGTTAAAACATGGTATCATGAGTTTTGTGAACTAATACTGATAACTATGGTATGTTCACATCTTCAATTTGTATTTACTACAAAATATATCGAAAAATAAAAAAGCTATTTTAGCATGTTGAATTGAATTTATTATTATGCTAACTCAAAGCATTGTTTTTTTAATAGTCTTAAGACTTGGGTGATGCCAGCAAAGCACTGAGGAATTTAGAGAAGTGATACATTGTTCTTTAGTTTAATTGGTTTATTGTTTTTCATACTTGCTTTCATAGATTTTTTGTGAAGTATTCCTGCTGTTTTTGGGAGTGATGTTGAAATTTTACTGCTGAAGTACTTCGAGATCAAATTAGTTATATGCATTTTGACAAATGTTCAATGCTCTCATTGAGCAGAGCTTTGATGGAGTATCAATGTATTAATCTTGTTGAATTTGTGTGATTTCAGTTCAAGGAGCTTGCCCAAGCTTATGAGGTTTTGAGTGACCCAGAGAAGCGTGATATTTATGATCAGTATGGTGAGGATGCTCTCAAGGAAGGAATGGGTGGTGGAGGTGGTGGGCATGACCCATTTGACATCTTCCAATCCTTCTTTGGAGGTAGCCCCTTTGGTGGTAAGTGCTCTCTATGCATTGGAAGCTAAACTGCTTTCACTAGGGAAGAAAATAAACAGTATTAACAGAGGGTTTTATTGAGCCTAGGTGGTGGAAGCAGCCGAGGCCGAAGGCAAAGAAGGGGCGAGGATGTGGTTCATCCTCTCAAGGTTTCTCTGGAGGATCTCTATAATGGGACATCGAAGAAGCTGTCCCTCTCACGCAATGTAATTTGTTCAAAGTGCAAGGGGTCAGTATTCTGCTGCAACTAATTATGTTTATGGTCCACTAATTACATGTCTCCTTATTTTAACATGAGATCAATATACTTTGCAGTAAAGGGTCAAAGTCAGGTGCTTCAATGAAGTGTTCTGGCTGTCAAGGGTCTGGGATGAAAGTTTCTATTCGGCACCTTGGACCATCTATGATCCAGCAGATGCAGCATCCTTGTAATGAATGTAAGGGTACTGGTGAAACTATTAATGACAAGGATCGCTGCCCACAGTGCAAGGGTGAAAAGGTTGCGCAGGAGAAAAAGGTGTTGGAAGTCATTGTGGAGAAGGGTATGCAAAATGGACAAAAGATCACATTCCCTGGAGAGGCTGATGAAGCAGTAAGAGAAGCATCTTTTTCTTGTTTTAGGCTTGCATGAATAAAAAATTAGGGGGTTATTTATTTTGATTTGACTTGATTTGTGTTTCTACAGCCTGATACAGTCACAGGGGACATAGTGTTTGTGTTACAACAGAAAGAGCACCCCAAGTTTAAGCGTAAGGGTGATGATTTATTTGTGGAACACACCTTGACCCTTACAGAGGCCCTCTGTGGCTTCCACTTTATCCTGACGCATCTGGATAACAGGCAGCTCCTCATTAAATCTCAGCCTGGCGAAGTTGTAAAGCCCGGTAAGTTCAGCATAACTATTTAATTTCTCATGATGTTGAAATATTTGCATTTGTTCTAGACTTTTAACAAGTCGCGTCATTGATTTGGGAGTGTCTGAGATAGATATATTAACTGTGTTGCAAACCATTCCCATGATATTTTTGATTGCATTGCATCCGCTCAGATAACTTCCAGGATGGCAGTGATTGCTTCTTAGTCATACGACTTTCCCCCATTCTACTTGGCTCTCTTTTCATTCCATAGTGGTGGCGATTCAGTTGATTCGTGTTGCTATGGTCCTTTCTTTCTTTTTATATTTTCGCCAAATACTTGTTTCTTGAATTGTAGGTAGGTTGATCTGTATGCACATTCTGGATTTTAAATGTTCACGTTTATCCAACATGCAGATCAATTCAAGGCAATAAATGATGAAGGAATGCCAATGTACCAGAGGCCATTCATGAGAGGGAAATTGTATATCCACTTCACTGTAGATTTCCCAGACTCCCTGACCCCTGACCAGTGCAAGGCTCTTGAGGCTGTGCTGCCTCCAAGGCCGTCGACTCAGATAACAGATATGGAGTTGGATGAGTGTGAGGAGACTACTCTGCATGATGTTAACATTGAAGACGAGATGCGTCGTAAGCAGCACCAGGCCCAAGAGGCATATGATGAGGACGACGATATGCATGGTGGTGCCCAGAGGGTGCAATGCGCTCAGCAATGATAGCCTTGGCAAAGTATGAAAATGACATGGGGGAAGTAGGAATTGGATCAGGTCAGAAGTAAGACGTCAGTATTTTCTGGGAACAGGTTTGTCAAGACAATAACATTCTCTGCAATGTTGTCTCCTATGGTAGTATTTAGATTGTTTGTTTATGGGTGTGAGATTTATATGACCAAATTTAAAATGTATGCAAGGTTTATCTCTGACTATTGAGAAGACCTAAATGAAACCATTGCATACCTCCATGCTTGTTTTTTGGGTGCTTCTATATTGGTTTTTATGGTTGCCTTTTATTGTCTATATTTTGCTGGTGCTTTTATTGTTTTGCTCAGTTGGACTTTGAAATCCAAGCCTACTTGTAGTTCTTCCACGCTCGTGGTTATTCGACTTGATTAGACACGCAAACACATTTTGAGTAGATTTTGGAATGACACCTCAAAGATTTCTAGGACAGAATGACCATGTTGCCAACCTCATTTGGCGCCTTTGCCAAATTGGTGATGATGGCTAATGACTGCCAATCTTGTTCTAAATTGATCCCAAAGTTGCTTGGGATTGTGTGGAAAAAACTTGAGCTTGAGATCAGCTGCCCCCCCCAAAAACCAACAAAAAAACCCACCCCAAAAAGAAAAAGGGAAAAAGCTCTCAGTTTATGAAACAGAAGTTTCATAAACTTCTGTCATGATGGTAACTTCATCACTTGGTTATGGATTCTTGGGGAAGAAGATTTGTTGCTAAAATGAAACAGAGATATCCCTTTGGGGGGTTTTAGAATTAGACCTTTGGTAATTCAACGAAGCACCAACGTAGTAAGGCACATGGTGGATAATTTCTGGTGGTGTTCTTCCTCGTAAAGATTTTTAGTCGCCATTTTAATCTACAATAGCGACATGAAACATCTGACTCATTTGATTGATTTTATTGTGAATGACTTTCTGCAGCTTTTCTTTTTATCCTATTTTTTATTCGCTTTTCTTTGTTCCCTAGTCTGTTTGCTGTTTGCTGTTTTTTTTTTTTTTTTTTGTATAGTCGCGGTTTTGGGTAAGAGTGGGGTGGTCGGGGTTATCCGTCTATGCCATACTTCTTGAAGACCCCCGAGTTACCATTAGATCAAGACATTAGTAGCAATTTTGAGCTATTGATAAACTTTTAGGGTAGGGATAAAGAAGGTTGTCCAATGGGCTTATTTCCTCTGCTCTCTAGTCTTTTAACACGAAATTTTTGTGTTTTTTCTAAGGTAGGATCTACTTGTGCCATATGTTCTGGGATGATCCCTTCCAAGGAACCTATTTTGGAAGAGCAATGCAATTGGGAGATATAATTTACTGACATAATTTAGTAACTTAATTTATTATGATCTTTAAATTAACTGTGAGCTCTATTAAATTTTAAAATTTAGTGTTGATCTAATAGTTCTACTGAAGTCATATTATTATAGTAAATTAGGTTAAATTTTTAGGTTTAAATAGTATTATCCATTTTGGAATAAGAAAAAAAATGTTCTTTTTTTTTTTTTCATATTTTATCACCAGGAAAATTATTAATTACCTTCATGTTGCCTAAAAGGATGTAATTAAGATACTAAGAATTTTTTTCAGTATTTTATTATTTTCGAGGTTAATGATCTATCGACAGATTTTGGTATGGTATAAATTCAGTACGGTAACCAAGGTGAATAGATACATTGTACGATGCACTTTAATTAGTTTCGGTGCATGGGCCGAAGCCCAATCTCTCTGCTTTAGTGATGTAGGAGCACGAACGTATCAAAATTTATGTTTAAATCGTAAATACCAATTCCCAACATGAAGCTCGTTCAGTTTTACTCAGAAAAGTTTGGGTTTTTTAATTTTTATAGTTCGAAGGATGAAAAATGAGGGGGATATATTTTTTATTATTTGGTATTGGATGAAAAATGAAAAGAAAGAAAAAACGCATATTCCCAATTTATAATTCTATCCTTAAATATGTTTTTCACTCTAATAAGTAAATGATAAAAATGTCAATTTAAAAAATTATTACCTTATCTTTACTTTTTCCCTCTAGTTTTTGTCCAAATTTGGGCTGAAAATATTTGGTGGGCAGGAAGGATAAAGATTCCTTCCATTTTTCATCCTTCGTACTTTCCTTTAGTACCAAATAATAAAAATCTTTTCCTTCCCTTTCATTTTCCCTCCCTCACTTTTCTTCTACTAATTTTTCCACCATACGAAACACATTATTAAGAACTAAAATGACCCAAAGTTAAAGTAGCACACAGTTTAATCCATTTGACTTGAATATATTGAGAGGGATTGACTGAATACACAAATTGTCTTCATATATATATATATATGTGTGTGCGCGCGTGTGTGTGTGTGTGTTTATATGTATAATGTGGGCATTCTAACAAGGACCCTTATGTATTTTAGATTTCCGAAACATTACTTTGTAAAAAATATTTGAGACCATCGACTTTTAGGGCTCGTTTGATTGCCGTATTAGAAATGAATAGATTAGATAAAATAATTCGGTCTAATACAATACAGCAGGACAAAAGACAAAATTAAATAAGATATTAGAATAATATGTAATTTTATTTAGTATTTGGTAATATATAATATAAACGTTGAATAATAGTTATTTAATCCAATCATTTGTTTGGTTAAAGAATTATTTTATCGTATTAATGTTGAATTAACAAAAATATACGAAATCAATGTTTGTTACATTGATAACAATTTGATTTTATCAGTTGGCTTAAAAATAATAAGACAACGTTACCATAAATAATAAAAATTTCATTTCAAATCAGTTGAAATTGTCCGTTTTTAAGTAAATCAAGCGAATTAATGATGAAATCAAAATTCTTAAAATTATTTTTAGGTGTTAGAAGATGTTTTGGTTTATTTCGATCAATATTTTAAAATATTTAAAAATGCATTTTATATATATATTTTTATCTATTTCAAACACTTTTTTGAAACATATCTTAAATATTTTCATTTCTTAGTGATTGAAATAATGCGATAAAATAAAATTTTTATTTCTTGATTATTATTGGGAAGGGGCAATTTGTGACTCTCCTTTTTGGCTGCAGTGGCATCCAATGAATTCCGCACGCTTGTCCATATGCCTAGGGCTAATCTAAACATGCTTTAATGAGTAATACTAGTTGAACTCATGTTAGGAACTAGGGCTAGACTTTAATGATGTATTAATTGATATGGTCTATTAATATTATTGTAATTATAATTATTAGATTTTTTTATTGGGTGTAGTTGAGACACTTCATTCAAATTTTTTTTTTTTATCAAACACTAACCACTTACTCTAACAAAATAACGGTTAGGAAAGACGTTATATATTATTCACACATTCACTTCATTCAATTAAGATGTTACGTGACTTACACAAAAAAAAAAGATGTTATGTGACATGGTTAATTTTTGTTTATAAAAAACATTTGGTACGTATTTTTAAAATTTACTACTTCAATAAGTGTTTTTACAATATTTGTGGATCATTTTACAACCAAAAAAATTATTATTTTTGTGGGTGTTTTCACAATTATTGTGATGATTATTTTTACCACTTTTTTCATTACAAAAAAAATAAAAATTTATCATTTTTGTGGGTAATTTATCACATTTATAGGCATTTTTACCACTATTATGAAAATTATTTTTGTCATTTTTTTTGGGGTCAAACATCAGTGATCAAAACATTCACAATTGTGGTAAAAGTATCCATTAATGTGATAAATGGAGGTATGTGTTTACATCAAAAAATAAGCAAAATTAGAGGGTTGCACGTTGAAGAGATCCAATGGCTATGAAAGAATATGTGGGAGTCCATAATTGACAAAGCGGGTAGGAAAGTAAGATTCTAAGAATCCCAAGAAGTGAGGAGACGTGATATTGTGAGCTGCAAGTTGGAGATGATTCAACGAACATCTATGCATCTCATTGGAAACTCTATGATTACAACCGAAAAATTTGATTTTGACGGTTGAATGTCATTTCTATAAATAACAAAGGTCAAGCCATAGAGAATAGATTTACGATCGAACACAACAAATTTTACAAAGAACCAACCTATTTTATACTTACTTATTGTTACTTCTAAGCAACTTTACTTTTACTATTATCTATCACTCAAGTGATCTTTTACTGCTTTCATTTAACGTTAAACACAATATTTGTTTCATTTTCCCAATTCATTATACGTATTGCTTTGCATTCTAGTTATTTGTTTTATGTTTTAGTCCATTATGTTATTAGTTGAAAAATTATTTGAAGTCCTTGAGCATTAAGGCATAGAAAAAAATTCAGATGTAACCTTGAGTCTCGCTACAATCGCCTAAACAGTTACGATTTTAAAACATCACACCGGTTTGAGTAGGTAAGGTTGAACGTATTTAGATCTCAAGTCCAATTGGACTATCGCACGCCTGTAATATAAAAATATGCCAAACATATTTTTTGGCACGCCTGGTGTAACCTTAAACAGCCGTATAACAAACACTCGTAAAAAGCCAAAATTAGCTAGTCACAAGTACCTCCAATACACGAGGTTGTCGAAGAAAACATGTATGACATTCCTAACGTGTAGGAAGAGTTGCCTCAACTTGGGGGGGGGGGGGGGGGGCAAGAGAACCAATGTGGCGTATGTATTGTGGGGAGTGGATGATTCGCCTAGTTGGATTTCTTGAGTGATTCGAAGAAAGCCAGAGCTCAGTTGCTTGTTGGCAGAGGAAACGATGAATGCAATGGCAGTGGAAAGAGGGGTAAACCAAAGTAAGAGTCCTAAACAAGTTAGATAATGAAAAATAAGTAAAAAAAAAAAAAAAAACCTAAACTAGTTGGCCTAATTTTAATGACGTGACAAATTCATGTTAAGTACCTCGTCATTAAGTCTCTATATTATTTCCCTATTGTATGTACCAATAGCATTACTGCAAATCATTTGATAGAATCTCATATGTATGCGACTAAGTCGGGCAGTAGATGTTCCGGTGAAGACTCAACAACTCTGTTAAAAAATACCCAAAAAAAAGGGGGACTTGGGAAAGCTTAAGGGAAAGTAAAAACCCATTTGGCAGCTGATCCTTCTTGTGAACTAAATTATAAAAATCTCCCCAACAAAATTTCTTTTTAGAAGCAGCCAAAAATTGCCTCTGAACCTTTCGAAAAATAAACAAATTGCCTCTGAAAACCTTGAAAGATGAATCAAATCTGCATTTCGATGAAGGAAATTTTCTAGCAGGTTTGGCTCAAAGGTTTGAGTTCCTTACGACTTTTTTTTTTTGTCAAAAGTTCCTTATGACTTGAAAACAGTAAATAGTGTACAGCCTTACTTTTATAGCAGAGTTTAATTGTGAGACTCGAACCTATAACATTTTACAAAGATTGATGAACACCCATTATCGCTCTAAATTCGACCTTTATGTGGGGGTATCTCATGGTTTTTATCTAAAAAGAAGAAATTTGTTTGAGCAGGCCCATCTTGAATGAATTTCTGTAACTTGGGAAACTTGTCATTCACATGCAAGTTAGCCCTTACAAATCATATAACCATGAATCACATGAACCGAAATCATCTGATTAATTTGGAACTTAAGTTTTTATTTCTCCTTATAAATATGGACAAGTACTCTAGGCTCATTCGTGCTGTAAGAATGATTTAATTAAAAAAAAAAAGAAAGGGGGACGAACAGGTGAGATATTTCTAACAATCATCGGCGGGATATGACATGCTGACGATCCAATAAAAAAAAAAAAACCAGAAAGGAGCTTTCTAGACAATTTAGAAAGGACCATATCTCTCTCTCTCTCTCTCTCTAACACACACACATACTCCCTCACATAAATCTTCCCTTAAGAACTTTTTTTTGGGGTAGGGGTGGGAGAGAGGGACTTGAACAGTTGATTTAAGAAGACAATTTTCGTAAGATAAGGAATATTATTAATCCAAAAATCCGTCCATAAAAACTCCATTACCTCATCTTTTCTATTTTACTTAGCCAAGAAGTATGAGAATGGTGGTTAACTTTTTCAATGGCCCTTTATAAATAAGTTTCCAAGATCAATATGTGGTTCCAAAAAACGAAAGACCTAATTTCCACTTAGTAAATAATTGCTAGGCGCTTAAAAAATTTATAATTTTATTTATTTGGTTATATTTTGGGCTAAACATGTGAAAGTCTTTTAATTATTAATGTAACAGTGAGATTGGAGCGCAAACTTCATATTTTAATACTCTATTAAACGGACAACTCATTAAAAACTTAAACCCGTTAAAGAGATTATAATCTAATTATTTATGTACTTCCACATATGAGAATGAAGGTGTGAAGTTTTTAGTTGCCGAGACGAGTTGAGTGATTTTTCCATTTATAGTAAGTGTCTCATTTTTTTGTTTGATGAGTAGTTCTTTAACTATTCTTCTTTATTTTATAACTTATATGTAAGCTTTTTCTTTTTTCTTTTTTCTTTTTTTATTATCAGACAAATTCGTTAATTTCATATTTGAGTATATCTTGTTAATTTTGGCCTGCACCATCTTTCACAAACCTCAAAAACAGCCCTCTACCTACCCAAAACAACAGCTCCCCAGCATGTGAACTCCAATCTTTCTCTGTCTCTGTGTCAACTCATATGCATCAACCTTATTAAATAACTCCATAACCTCATCTTTCCCATTTCCCCCAACTTCGTAGAGAGCTTCCTGCCTTAACACCCCCCCCCCTCTCTCTCTCTCTCTCGAAAATACCACTTCCAACTAAAAAACCTCCAGTTCTTCAGAGCAAATGAACAGCACAATTGAGTCCACTGATGCCACAGATCAAAAGGGTGGGCAAAGTAGTGGTGGTTTTGGCTATGGCATGGGCATTTCCCTTGGTCTCTGCATGTTAATAGCAACTATAGCTTATGTTTCCTACGTCTGCATCAGATTACGTCGCGCCATGCACCACCCCTCTTCCTCCCATAGAACCTCCATAGACACCACCACTGACGGTGGCTCATTCTCAACCACAATCCAAAAAGGACTCGACGAAACCACCCTCCTCGCCTACCCCAAACTCCTCTATTCCGACGCTAAGCTTTATAAAGGCGACTGCATCGCTTCAGGCTGCTCCATATGCTTAGTTGACTACAAAGACACTGAAGTGCTTCGCTTGTTGCCTGACTGTGACCACTTCTTCCACCATGAATGCATCGACTCATGGTTAAGGCTTCATCCAACGTGCCCAATCTGTCGAACATCACCCATGACAAGCCTCCTTTTAGCCCCTCTTCAGGAGGTCGTCCCCTCGGCCACACCCCAAAACTGAGGTAGTGTTTGGAAACGCATCTTGAAAGGATTTTTGTTAATTTTTAAAGGACTTCTCTTAAGTAGGATGTATTTTTGAATTTCTGCAAATTTTTTCCTTGTTGGAGCTTACTCCCTTCTTCTGATCATTATGATCACCTGTACAGTAATATATAGTACACATATATAAAGAGTAGGGTAAAATAAACTTTTAGTTCTCAAAGAATGCATGTAATGTGTATTTGATTTTCAATTTTTTAATTGTGTTTATTTGGTCTTTAAAATTCTTAATTTGTACCTATGTGGTCCAATTTCAAATATGCGCCAAAAAATAATTAATGCTTTTGGTTACAGGCCAATCACGTGGGTCCAAATAGATGCAAATTAAAAAATTTAAGATCCAAATAGATGCAAAATTACTAATCAAGTGATTGACACGTGATCAGAACTGTCACAAATTTTTGATGAACATATGAAATTGGACCACGTCTGTAAAACTCGGATAAATTTAAACTTTTTCTGAAAAAAGACAAAATAGTAATTTGTCACTATAATGCGGATTTAAAATATGTATTTCTATATAGCTTGGTTGACGCAACAGATTTCATCATTAGATTCGTATTGCGAAACTTAGTTAACCAGACAATTTTCGTCGAATTTTGAAATAGTCGGATTTTTTACATTTTACGAGATAACTGGGTGTTGAGTGAACTCACAAACGTCCCCAGAAATAAAATTTATAAAATTTTCTTATAATTGAAAGAAAGTTCAAATAAAAATAATTTGAACTTAAATCGAGACAAAATTAAGTCGTTTCGGGACAAAACGGACCCGAAAATAAGAAATGTACGACGCGACGTGGACTGTGCAATTAAAGAGTATAAATAGGGAGAAATATTTGATCTTCTCCACTTGATCAGCTGGGTTCTCACGTTAGAAGAGAAAGAGAGAGAAGAGAGAAAGAAAAATATAAAATTTCTACCTTCTCCCTATGATTCACGGAGTTTCGCTGGTCGGAATTCGTCGAGCCAAGCGTTAAAGTCGATCACCTTGACGAGAGCTATGCAACCATACCAAGAACGAATAATTTCATCGAAGATCCAAAGAGGAGATTTGGGAAAATCAAGAGTTTTGGACTTGGAAGGTGTTCTTGAAGATTCTGCTCTTCATTTTACACTTCAAGAGGTAGAGTTCCTTCCTACTTTAGTTTATTTCTAACCTATGGTGTCCATAGGGCATGGTTAGGTGTATAGAACTTGTCTATTGTTATGGAAAGGAGGAGATGGGTATGGAAATGGTTTAAATCAACTTCTAATTGATCTTAGTTTAGGGAAGTTACTTGTGTAATTTCTTGGAACTTGATATTATGTGAACAATTTTGTGTGATAACATGATTGTTGCCTTGAAGGTGTTTTACTAAATGCCTATGTGAGAATTAAGTTGTTATGACATGAATGATGTATAATATGCTTGAGAAAATGGTAATGGAATGAATAAATTGATATATGTTGTTAATATATTGGCACCATGATGATTGTGGTAATTATATGCTTAGGATATAAATTGCCATAAGATATGTTTGGTATGCGGTTTAAATTGCTCATTTGATATTTTTTGCATTTTGGACATGAGATTGACATCGCATTCATGAAAATTAGGCATGAATCTGGGTGTGTGTACATGATTTAATCAAACACTATTCTTGGTGGTTGATAAGTGGACTCGGGAAGGTTGGATCGAAGATCCGGCTGAGTTGCATATTGTATGAAAAATTTGTGTCGGGTATAGTAGAAGGAATAGATTCTTCCTCGAGTAAGAGACCCGGCTACTAGGTTCATACACTCTTCTATGGTGAAATTTCGGAGAAGTGTAATGGCGTACGGAGCCAGTGGTGTGATTCCAAAATCCAATACTCAAATAAAGACACATGAATTTGTTTTGTAAAATAGTCATTTGGTGTGAAATACCAACGATGGGGGCTTGGAATGCCTTGGGTTTTTCATACATGTAGCATTGCATGGGTTGAAAGGAGTCGGTGAAGGCTCGGGGTAAAGTGCTTTAGTGAGTCTCATCTCATTTTATGGCATATCATAATGAAATTCCACATTGAATTACATATTCTCAATTGGAATGAATGATATTTGTTGATTGTTGTATGTGCACATTTCATATACACTTAGGCTGGGGAATAACCTCTATAACGGATACTTTATTGAGCGGGGCTCACCCTATACGGGAAACATTTCAGGTGCGGGATGTACGCAGGTGGACGACTTTCATCCGGGGCCTCGTGGATGAAGAGAGGCCGAATTGTGGCCTCTAATCTGCATTTTGTAAAATTTTGTGAAAATCATGTTTTTGACATGTAATCGTATGAAATCAATTGTAATAGAACTTATATAAATTATGTTTGATGTACAAATATGGTGTTACATCTTCTAAAAATTTGAAATTTAAAATTTCTTTGCCAGACCTTTGGGCTATGGGTTCTTTGGTTCCAAAGATATAAATAGACATAAAATAAGTATAAATTGTAGTACATGAATTATATGTGTGGATAACAATCCCGGTTAAAGGGATTTTATTGACGTGATGTTGGATTATGCGACAATTACGAGTATTTTCGCAGATTAATGTGTTATCAACGGTTAACAAATGACCTCCGATTTTAGGGGCGTCACAACGTCGATACAAATTAGGAACTTTGTGACTAAATAGACACAATTGAAGAATTGTGGAGCAAATAGACACAATTGAAAGATTGAGAATCAAATAGACACTAACCACATATTTTTGAGACTAAAATTATATTTTATCCTAAAGAGTATAATTCATTTACTAAAAAATAATGCTAAGTTTTAGCATTGCTCCTAAAATACATCTAAATTACTTTTGTAGAATAATAAGTCAACATGGTTTTATTTTTTAGACAAAATTGTTCAATTTTTTTTTTTTTCATTTTTTGTTAGAAACAAATTCTCACGAAACATGTTAACAAGTGGTAAAGTGTACGGACTTCAACTTGCAAGACCAAGCATTTCTATTGATTTTCCAATTTTTTGGATTTCGATCCTTTTGTGTTCCTATGTTGAAAAACTTGATTCGTTTTTGACTCGAACTTAAACCTCATGTTTAAGCATGCACATGCCTCAAAACTCGTGCACATCATGGTTTAAAAAAATTCATTGGGTACTATTAAGCCTCAAGATATCTAATTAATCTAATTGTGATAGTTAAAATTTATAAAATGTGAAATTAAGATCATTCAAATCCCTTATTCTTTACTGTATACACTACGAGTTGTATAGATGTTGAAGTATTCATTGGATTCTAGTAATCGAGAAGAAAGAGTTTCGCTTCCCCAATATGATGATATCATATGAAGAACATACGAAAATAGAAAAAAAATGCAAAAACATGATATCAATATATGGATACATTCACATAGTTGTAAGGTTTATCCCGGCCAGTTATAGCCAACATATTTGCTAGCACAACAAATTGGTTAATTGTGTTTGATTAAACTATATGGTATAGGGAGTGAGAGAAAAAACAATTGTAGGTTTTTTGTTTTTTTCTTTTTAGTGTGTTTCCAAAGCAATCCAATAGCATTGGGAAGTCCTACCTAAAAGAAAGGTGACTAATGATAAAAATAAATCACAGTAAGAGCAAAAATAATCTAACTTAAATATAAAATCTTAATAATCAAACTCTCAACCCTTAAAAATATATATATATATATATATATATATATTATGATCCATTGCCGCTGACAGTAAGAAAAAGAAGGTCTTATCTATATATGCACAACAATGTTCGACTTTGGGATCGAAAGAGGTAGGGTACTATAGTTTATTATGTTTTTTGCTTTAAAATTCAATTATTTGAACTCAAGTTATCACAAAAAGTTAAAATTGATCTTAAAATATCCCGAGCTCAAGATGCTCGGTTAACATGAAGTTTTTGTTTGAGTTAATGGGAACTAAACTCAATTTCTCTACGACTAAGCATTCTCAAGTTGATTGATAGACAGAACGCGTGAATGGTATCTTAAAAAATACTTCAGACATTTGATTGTAACCAATCAACAAATTAGGTTGATCTTTTGGATATTGTCAAATTCTATTATCATCTTACACTGAGTTTTGCTACTGGAGCTAGCTTTTTTGAGTGGACAATTGGTCAGAAATCTTTAAATCCAAACGAGGTAGCATATGATTAGGCTTGATAATCGTGTTGAGTAGAACGGTTTTGTGTTGGGTGGAACAGATTTGTGTCAAAAAATTCTCTATTCATATCCCATTCGTTTATATAAACGAGTCCAACTATCACATCCATACACAAATCATTTATTAGACGGATTACCCAATACAACCCGTGTGTCACCCGCTAAATAAAAGAATAAGTTAAAGTATTTCGAATCCACACGAAAAATCATCAACTCACCACACATTACACATATTTGACCTGTTTACTATAATAATAAATAATGGTTGAGCAAAAAAATAAAGACAAAAGATAAACATTAAATGACTACTAAATTTGAATGAATTTGAGAGATTGGAGGTGTGAGATGAGGCAGATAGTACCATCGTTAACAGGTTAAATAGGTTGAAACGAGTTTATGGGTTAAACACGAAACTGGTTCGTTTATTTCACGGGTATACCGAGTTAACCCATTAACCACCCGAACCCATTAGGACTACACCCAAACCTGTTAAATCCGTGTTGGATTCATGTCAATTTCACGAATCGTGTCTAGAATTGGTAGGCCTACATATGATACACTACTTTGGGTGAAGCTCTAAGACTTTGGGGGCATTGGGGAATGGTATTGATTCCAAATTAACACTCACAAAAATTATAACTTATACCCTAAAAACTTATAACTTTTAACACTAAGGGCCTATTTGGTATGTGGGTTTTGGGGGGGGGGGGGGGGTTTTAGAACATGGGTTTGAGAATAAACTTTGTCAAACCCATGTTTGGCAAATACACATCTATCCTAGGGTTTGAAACTTA